TTCCCTGTTTACCTCCCCCATCCCCTGGCTGGCTACTCAGTTAATTCTCCTCCTTTGTCTGTTCTTTGCCTTTAAAGGAAGGGGAGCCCCTTTCCTCCCGGAGCCCCCACTACCACATCTCCAGTGACGGGAGCCTCCTGATCCCCCTGCCCTCTGCTGGAGAGTCGGGTGTCTACGTCTGCACGGCCACCAACCTGGGGGGCTCTGCCCACCAGGAACTCCAGCTCTCTGTCAACAGTGAGAATTCTCCTCCTTTGTCTGTTCTTTGCCTTTAAAGGAAGGGGAGCCCCTTTCCTCCCGGAGCCCCCACTACCACATCTCCAGTGACGGGAGCCTCCTGATCCCCCTGCCCTCTGCTGGAGAGTCGGGTGTCTACGTCTGCACGGCCACCAACCTGGGGGGCTCTGCCCACCAGGAACTCCAGCTCTCTGTCAACAGTGAGTCGGCTTGCTTGGGGAAGACCCAGCCAAGGCCTTTTAAAATGGCCCGCAGAGCCTTGGGCTGACGGAAAGGGAGCTCAGGATAGGAACCTTGGGACTCCCTCAGCCTCTCCCTGGCTCTCTCCCTTCCCTGAGCCCCCTCTGCCCTGACAGAAAGAGACACTTTTCCAGTGAACGTTTCCTTCCCTTCCCTGATTGTGGATTGAGCCTCCAGCTCTCTCTAGGCATGGTGAGCAAGCCCCACCTATCCCTCAGGACTGTCACTGCTGCCAGGAGCTATTGCTCTGTGCCAGGGGCTTCTAGGGAATGTGCAGAGGCAGCGTGGTGCAGTGGATAGGGTATTGCTCTAGGAATCAGGGGACCTGGGCTGTATTCCCAGCTCTGTGGCTGACTTGCCTGTAGGACCCTGGGCAAGTCACTTCGCTTCTCTGCACCTTCTTCCCCCCCACTCCACTGCTTGCCTGCGAGCGTAAGGAGTTTGGGTCTGGGGCTGTGTCTCCCTGCTAATATCCTGGGCCCAAGGCTTGGGTAGGGCAGTGATAATACAGACGGCCTGTGTCCCGAGGGGCTATTGTTGTGCATAGTGCAGCACTGCAGTGACGTAGCTCCGTGGAAGCCCATCTCCCTGCACCTTTCCCTGGTGCTAAATTCATGGAGTCAGGACCCAACAGCTCTTCAGCCTGGACACCAATCTCACTTCCCCCTCTTTGTCCCACCAATGCAGCTAAGCCCAGGATTAGCAGCAACAGATCGCATGAGTCAACGGGACCAATAAGGATTTCAGCCGTGGTTGGGCAGGAAATGACACTGCCCTGTGTCGTTCAAGGGTACCCATCACCGCTGGTCGTATGGACACAGGAATCTCGGGCACTGCCTCTTACCACAGGAAGGTAAGGAACTGCCTGGAAGGTGCAAAGATGGGGAAACCCAATGGGCTCGTTGTTAGGGGCCCTGTAGCTTTATCTGTGTTCTTCTTAAGATCTTGGGACCCTTTGTACACAGACGAGATTAGTAGCGACAGGCCAAATTAGCCCCTGCTGCGATTGCATCAATGTCAATGGATTTATGGTAGGAGACTGAAGTGGAATGGGGCTTTTCTACAAAGTCTTTCTAATGCATGTGATGCCCTCTCGGCCATGGAGGTGGTCTGATATGGCTGAGCAGTCTGCAGTGTTTCATTGGAAGGGGGCATTATCTAGTGGTTAGATCTGGGGAAGTGGAAGGCAGGAGATATGGGTTCCACTCTGTGCTTTTCCTGTATATGGGCGTGGCGAATTGCCTCAGTTTCTCTTTCTGTAGCAGAGGGGCAGTGGTCTCCTAGTGCAGAAGATGTGCAATCTGCATTGTTTCCTTGAATGTAACCGTCCATTTGACATCTGTGGGTGAAGGTTAAAGATTGGTACGTAATGTGGTTTTAAGTCCTATAACTGCCCAGCCGAAGCCAGGTGCCCTGTTAACACTGTCAGTAAGTGGGTGCAGCCGCTGGTTCCATCTGAGGGAGCTGGGACCCAGAGCTGGCATCTCACCAGGTTGGTGCCCTTGAAACAGGAAAGCTTTCTTTGCTGGTTGCTGTGAGCGGGGATTAGACTGTGCTTGGCTGGAGACATCTGCCACCCCCTAGACTCAAACGCTGAAGGATGATATCAGCAGTTGACACAGTCCTTGAAAAGAGCCAGAGAGAGTTCTTGGATTCAGCCCTGTCAGCCCTTTATCCTAACATCTGTCTGGAAGGAACATCTGCTTTCAACCCGCATTAAGCCGAAGTGCATACACCCCTGGATACGTATGGGGCTTAAGTTGCACATTTGTCTTGTGGTGGGGGAGGAGGCTGCTTTTCATGTCCCATCCTGGCACCCCTCCTCCTTCTTCCCCCCCCCCCCACCCCCCCCCCCCGCATCGCACGCGGCCTCTT